TCCCCGCGAACTCCACCTCCAGGCATGGAGGGAGTCCCGCGCCCGGCGCCCGGGCCGTGGCGCTGGCCTGGGCCAGTTTGGCCTTAAAGGCCCGCACCTCCTGCGCGGGCGGGCCCTCTGCTGCCGGCCGGGCCCCGGCCTCAGCGCTCGCCCCCTGGGCGGGGAGGGGCGCGCCGCTTTCGAGAGCGGCGGTCGCCCTCTGGACGATCGCGGCGACCGCCTCCACCGCGTCCCGCGGCTCAGCCCCGTCGGCCTCGACGCGGTCGAGGGCCTCCCGGACGGCGTCCGCGAAGCACTCCGTGAAGCCCGCGCCGTCCTCAAGCGCGGCGGCGCCCGCTGCCGCCGCGGCGGGCCCTCCCGGGGGCGGTCCAGTGGCCTTCGGCGCCGCCGCCGGGAAAGGGGCAGCCGGGTTGCCCTTCCAGGCGGCGGCCCCCAGCCCTCCCGGTCCTGCCCCGAGCGCCTCCGGAGCCGTCTGCAAGGTCGGGCGCGGCTGCTGCTCCGGCGCGCGGGAGTGCCCGGCGAAGCCCAGCGCCTGCGGCAGCCCGTTCTGCTTCGCCCCGAGTGGCCCCTGCGGCGGCGCTGGGAGTGCGGCACCTGCCGTCGCGCTGGCCCAGGCCGGCCCGCCCTCCGCCCGCGGGGCGGCCGCCGCGGCGCGCGTCGGGGGCAGCCCCTCAGCCAGCCCTGCCAAGGGCGCTGCTTCCAGAAGCGCCGCGGCCGGCCAGGCGGCGGTTGCCGCGGGCGGCCAAGCGGCGGCGTCGGCGGCCCCCTTCCCCAGCGAGAGCAGCGACCCCGCGGCGGGCGCGGTCGGCGGCTTGGCGGCGGCGCCGGCCGTCGGAGGCGCCCTGGCCGCGAGCCCTGCCCAGGGCGAGGGCGCCGTGCCAGGCCAGGCGGTGACGGCAGCCGTGGCCGCCCCTCCCGGCGGGGGCGGTGGCCCAGTGGCTGCGGCGGCGCCGGGCGCGGCCGCGTGCGCCTCCGCAGCAAGCCCTGCACAGGGCGCTTCTGCTGCTGCGGGCGCCGTGCTGCCCGTCCAGGCGCCGGGCGTGGGTGGGGGCGCGCCAGCGGCAAGCCCAGTCCAAGGCGCGGGCAGCGTGCCCGGCCAGGCGGTGGCGGCAGCCGTGCCCACCACCACCCCCGGCAGGGGCGCGGCTGTGGGCCAGGCGGCGGCGGCGGCGGCGCCGGGCTTCGCGGCCGCGTGCGCCCCCGTCGCTGGCCCTGTCGAGAGCGCGCCTGGTGCTGCGTGCGCCGTGCCGGGCCAGGCGGCGGTGGCGGCGGCCGCTGCCGCCGTGGCCGCCCAGTGCTCCGGTCCGGCGGCGGCGCCGGGCTTCCCAGGCGGAGCCCCTGTAGCAAGCCCTGCCGAGGGCGCTGGCGCTGTCGGAGCCGTCGGTAGCCAGCCGGCGGCGGTAGCCGAGGCGGGCCAAGCAGCGGCGGCGGTGCCAGCCCCGTCGCCCGGCGAGGGCGCCGTTGGCCAAGCAGCGGCGGCGCCCCCTTTCGTTCCGGCCGCCAGCGGCGGCGGCGTCTGGAAGCCCGGCGTCGTCCAGTCGAGCCCGCGTGGGGGTGCCGCCAGCGCCGCTGCGAGCGCCGCTTGGTGGAGCGCCTGGTACTGGAGCCAGGCCTGCGTCTGCCGCTGGAGAAGCTGTTGTTCGCCAGAAGGTCCGGCGGCTGCGTCGGCGGACGCCCGCGCGGAGGGAGAGGGAGGGGGGAGGGCAATTAGGTGCGCGAGGGGGGAGGGGGAGGGGCCCGTGCTCGGCACCTGTGCTCGGCCCGGCGGGCTCGGCACCTGTGCTCGGCACCTGCGGCCAGGGGCCCGTGCTCGGCACCTGTGCTCGGCCCAGCGGGCTCGGCACCTGTGCTCGGCACCTGCGGCCAGGGGCCCGTGCTCGGCACCTGTGCTCGGCCCGGCGGGCTCGGCACCTGTGCTCGGCCCGGGGGGAGCGGCTCTGACCCGGAGGATGAAGGAGGGAGGGGGGAGGAGGAGGAGGAGGAGGAGGAGGAGGAGGAGGAGGAGGAGGAGGAGGAGGAGGAGGAGGAGGAAGGGGGAGGAGCAAGAGGAGGTGGAGGTACGCACAATTCACTACGCTAATCTACACGAATAGACTACGCGAATACACTACGTGGCGCGTCCACTCGCAGGTCAAAGCGCGGCGCGGCACAGCACAGCCCCTGGAACGGTAGCGTCAACATTAATATCTCCAGCACTGCCACTGCCCATCGCCCAATTGAGGTGCGTGGAAGCGTCCCCAAACCTCACAATGTTGCATCCCTTTCTGAGCTCGTGGGCAGATCCTGAGAACACGTGCCGCAACAAACACACTACGCAGAAACACTTCGCGCGAACTCCACGCCAAGGCATTACGTCCGCTGGCTCCGCGACATGCACTTCGAAAACACACTACGCACTGCGAACCCTGCCACTGGCGCCTTCGGTGGAGCTCCCTTATGGGGCCACGATCCTAGTGAGGGGTGTGCCGAAATGGCCCGAGGCCGCCATGCGAACCCTGCCACTGGCGCCTTCGGTGGAGCTCCCTATGGGGCCACGATCCTCGTGAGGGGTGTGCCGAAATGGCCCGAGGCCACCATGCGAACCCTGCCACTGGAGCCTTCGGTGGAGCTCCCTATGGGGCTACGATCCTCGTGAGGGGTGTGCCGAAATGGCCCGAGGCCGCCATGCGACCCCCCCTATGGGGCTACGAAACGCTGTGCTGGGAGGGTGAAACGCAAGGAGGAGGGGGAGGAGGAGCGGGAGCGGCGGGAACGCGGGGCACCGTCTCTTCAAAACGAGGGCCCAACACCACAGGACGGTTGGGAAAAACTCCAAAAATGCCCCGAATATGCCCAAGAACAATCAAAAAACAGTCCCCAGACGAAGCTTGTACCATTTTTGAATATCCCTCCTGTAGGGGGACAGGCCCGACTTGACCCTGGGCCGGAGCCCGCAGCAGCCGAGCAGGCCTCCGGGGGCCGCGCAGAAGACGAGCGGAGCCGGCCAGCGGCAGTCGGCGGCGAGCGCGGGGGGGAAGTGAGGAGGGGCGGGCCTTCTCAGCAGGCTCGGAAGTTAAGCCTTCCCCGAAGACAGAGAAAACTTCTCCGAGGGCGCGAGGGCCTCCGAGAAGGCCGACCGCCTTCTGAGAGGGCCTTCTCCTTCTCGCTTCCCCCCCGGGGCGCGCCGCCGAGGCATGCCCTTCGGTTGGCCGTCCCTGCTGGCCGCCCCCCGTCGGCGCCGCTCGGCCTGCTCTCTGCAGTCCCCGTGGGCCCCTCCAGGTGGCCAGTGGGCCGTGGCCCTCCCCAGCTCCACGCCCCCCTCGGCGGCGAGCGAAGGGGGGAAGTGAGAAGGAGAAGGCCTTCTCAGAAGGCGGCGGGGCTTCTCAGAAGCCCCCGCGCCTTCTGAGAAGTTTTCTGCGTCTTCGGGTAAGGCTTACAAAACTTCTCAGGAGGCCGGGGAACCTCCGAGCCTTCTGAGAAGGCCCGCCCCTTCTCACTTCCCCCCCAGACGCGCCGCCGACCCCCTCCCCTGAGATCCTGGCGCCACACTTTGCTCGCAGCGGGCGTTCTGGCCACGCTTCGGGCCCCAGAGCCGGTCGTGATGATGTTTGGAGATGTTGCATTCGTTTTGCAACGTCAGATCTCAGTGCGCGATGCCGCCACCTGAGCGACGGAAAAAATGAAAAAACAGCATAATATATATATATATATATATATATATATATATTGCTACTTTACTATATGTTTTTCTATATATATATATTAAAATTAAAAAAAAAAAAAAAAAAAAAAAAAAAAAAAAAAAAAAAAAAAAAAAAAAAAAAAAAACGGGTCTAGGTTGCGCATGATGACACAGCGGCCTTGCGCCGCAGCCTGCGGGGGCCGCCAGCGCGACACGCCACGCGGAAGACGGAACGCGTACGCGTGGCCTCACGCAAAAAACGCTTGCGCGCGAACGTCTGCGCAAGCGGCCCCGTTTTCCTCCGTCACTCGCCTGCAGCCGCCGCTGCTTCTCTGGCTGCTGGTTCCGCCGCCACCGCTTCCTGCTGCAGGCCTCGTCCACCCGACCCGCCGCTGCTCTCTTGCAGTGCTGGCGTGGCCTGGCCACCTGTGGTGCTCCGGGTCGAGATGACGGACGACAGACGGTAAGTTTATGGGCCGCTCAGCGCTGCACCTTCCACTACTTCTTGAGCGGCCTCGGGATTCCCGTGGGACCGTCGTGGATAAGACTGGGTGTCTCTGGGGCCCTCTTTGGGCCACGCTGGGGCCCTCCGGAAGCGTTTACGTAGGGCGATTGGGCCAACCATCAGCAGTTACCAGTGTCAGGCACCAACTTGCCGAGATCCAAGTGTCGCCAGCTGTAGCACGGCACCTGGAAAACACATCAGCAGCACACATTTCTACGAAAAATACCCCCGACAGAAAACATCATGAAGCACTCCACCTACCCCGTCCATCCTCCTCCCTACTCCTCCCTGTTCCTCCTTCACCTCATCCTCCTCCTTCTCCTCCACGCTCCTTCTCGTTATCCTCCTCTGGCTCATGGTACTGCTTTTCAATCCTCACTCCTCTTTCTTCACTCCTCACTCCTCCCCATTCCCCTCCTCCTCCTCCTCCTCAGCCTTCCCGACTCTTCCGCAAGCATCCGAAACCACCCGAAAACCTCCGACGACCATCCCAGATACCCTTGCAGAGCTCCAAACAAGACCGCCAACGACTTCCGAAAAAGAGCCAAGGGACTCCCCCTGCCGCCGCCGCCGCCGTCGTCGCAGCCGTCGTCGCTGCCGCCAATGCCGTCGTCGACGCCATGATCGCCGCCATCGTCCAGCTCGATCCAGAGCTCGATCCAGCCGTAATAGCATCTTACTAAGGATCGATCGATCGATCGATCGTCGTCGTCGTCGTAGTCGTCGTCGCCATCGTCGTCGTCGCCGTCGCCGTCGCCGTCGCCAACGCCGTCACCAACGCCGCCGCCGCCTGCCAGGAGCAGGCAGGCAGCTGGCGGGGGGCCGCCGGGGTAC